GTGTTTTTCGGCCATTTTAGACTCCTCTATTGAGAATTCTCTGTTTAGTTCTGTACCTCAATTTTAATTGAATTGTTGGTGTTTTGGTGACTACTTCCTTGAGTTCTTTGTATACTTTGGAAATCAGTCCTCTGTAAGATGTGGGGTTGGTGAAGAATTTTTTTCCCATTTGTGGGCTGACGTTTTTCTTGTTGACCCTGTCTTTTGCCTTACAGGCAAAAGTTTCAGGAAGTCCCATTTATTAATTGTCAATCTCAGTGACTGTGCTACTGGTATTATGTTCAGGAAGTGGTCTCCTATGCCAATTCGTTGAAGAGTACCTTCATTTTCTCATCTAAGAGGTGCAGTGTGGCTTGATTTATTTTGAGATCTTTGATTCATTTGGACTTAAGGTTTGTTCATGGCGATAGATGTGGATCCAATTGCAATATTCTACATGTCAGCATCCAGTTATGTCAGAACTATTTGCTGAAGATGCTTTTTCCCCCATTGTATAGTTTTAGCTTCTTTGTCAAAGTGGGTTAATATTAAGGTCTTCAATTCCATTCCATTGGTCTACCTGTCTGGTTTTTTTTGCCAATACCAAGCTGTTCTCATATATATATATTAGAGTTTGAAGTCAGGGATAGGCATGTCTCCTGAAGTTCTTTTATTGCACAAAGTTGTTTTGGCTATTCTTGGTCTAGTGTTTTTCCGTATAAAGTTGAGTATTGTCCTTTTAAGTTCTGTGGAGAATTGTGCTGGATTTTTATAGGGATTACATTGAAACTGTAGATTGAATTTGGTAAGATTGTCATTTTTTACTATGTTGATATTACCTATCCAAGAGTATGGGAGATCTCTCAATTTTCTAGAATCTTCTTTAATTTCTTTGTTTAATGACTCAAAGTTCTTGTCACACAGGTTTTTCACCTATTTTGTTAGAGTTACCCCAAGATATTTTATGTTGCTTGAGGTTATTGTAAAGGGTGATGTTTCTCTGATTTCTTTCTCAGTTCCTTTATTGTCTATATATAGTAGGGCTACTGGTTTTTTTTTTTTTTGAGTTAATCAAGTATCCTGCCCCTTTGCTGAAGGTAATTATCAGCTGTAGGAGTTCCCTGATAGAATTCTTTGGGTCACTTATGTAAGCTATCATATCATCAGCAAATAGTGAAAGTTTTAAATTCTTCCTTTCCAGTTTGTATCCCCTTGATCTCCTTTAGTTTTCTTATTGCTCTAGCAAGAAATTCAATATTGATGAGATATGGAGTAAGTGGACAACCCTTGTCTTGTTTCTGATTTAGAGGAATCACATTGAGTGTCTCTCCATTTAGTTTGATGTTGGCTGTTGTGTTTTGTATATTGTCTTTATTATGTCTAGGTGTGTTGCTGTTATCCCTGATCTCTCCAAGACTTTTATCAAGAAGGGTTGCTTGATTTTTCAAAGGCTTTCTCAGCATCTTGTGAGATGATCATGTGGTTTTTTTCTTTTTATCTTGTTTATATGGTGCATTACATTGATGTATTTTCATATGTTGTACCATCCCTGCATCCCTGGGATGAATCCTCCTATGTCATGGTGCATGATTTTTCTGATGTGTTCTTGGATTCGATTTCCCAGTATTTTATTGAATATTTTTGCATCAGTGTTAATGAGGGAAGTTGACCTGTAGTTCTCTTAGATGTATCTCTGTCTAGTTTGGGTACCAAGGTAATTGTAGCCTTGTAAAAAAGAGTTTGGCAATGATATTTCTGCTTCTATTGTGTGGAACAATTTGAGGAGTATTGTTGTTATCTGTTTTTGAATATCTGGTATAATTCTGCACTGAAACCCTCTGGCCTTGGACTTTTTTTTGTTGGAAGACTTTTGATGACTGATTCTATTTTGATAGGGGCTATAGGTCTATTGAAATTACTTATCTGTTCTTGATTTAATTTTGACAAGTGATATCTATCCAGAAAATTGTTCATCTCCTTTAAGTTTTCCAATTTTATGGAGTATAGGTTTTTAAAGTGTGACCTAATGATTCTCTGAATTTCCCCAGTGACTGTTGTTATGCCCCCTTTTCATTTCTGATTTTGGTAATTTGCATGCTCTTTGTGCTTTTTTGTTAGGTTGGAAAAAGGTTTGTCTATCTTGTTGGTTTTCTCAAAGAACCAACTCTTTGTTTCATTGGTTCTTTGTATTGTTTTCTTTGTTTCTACTTTATTGATTTCAATTCTCAATTTGATTATTTCCTGGTGTTAACTCCTCCTGGATGAGTTTGCTTCTTTTTGTTCTAGAGTGTTCAGGTGTTCTGTTAATTCTCTAGTGGGGCTATTATCTAGTTCCCTCATGTGGTCACTTAGTGCTATTAACTCCTCTCTTAGCACTGCTTTCAGACTGTCCATTAGGTTTGATAATGTTTTGTCTTCGTTGTCATTGAATTCTAGGAAGTCTTTTGTTTCTTTCTTTATTCCTCCTTTAACCAGGAGTGATGCAGTTGAGTATGGTTCAATTTCCACGAGTTTGTGTTGTTTTTGAATTCTAAGTTTAAGCCATAGTAATCCAATAAGATACAGGGGGTTATTCCAATTTTTTGTATCTATTGAGGTTTGTTTCATTGCTGAGTATGTGGTCGAATTTACAGAGGGGACCATGTGGCACCGAGAAGAAGGTATATTATTTTGTGTTTGGATTGAATGTTCTATAGTTGTCTGTTAAATCCAATTGGTTCATAACTTCTGTTAGTTCCTTTGTTTCCTTGTTAAGTTACTGTCTGGTAGTCCCGTCCAGTGGTGAGAGTAGTGTAAGAGTGTGGGGTTTAATATATGATTTGAGTTTTAGTAATGTTTGTTTTAGGAACGAGTTTGCCTTTGTATTTGGTGCATAAATGTTCAGAATTGAGACTTCATCTTGAAGAATTTTTCCTGTGATGAATATGAAATAACCTCCTTCATTTCTTTAGATTAATTTTAGTTTGAAATCTAATTTGTCAGATATTAGGATAGTTACACCAGCTTGCTTCTTAGGGCTATTTGATTGGAATTTTTTTCCAACTCTTAACTCTGAGGTAACATCTTTCTTTGAAGATGAGGTGTATTTCTTGTATGTAGCAGAAGGATGGATTCTGTCTTTGTATCCATTCTGTTAGCCTGTGTCTTTTTATAGGTGAGTTAACACATTGATATTAAGGGATATTAATGAATATGACTGTTGATTCTTGTTTGTTTTGGATTTGGTTTTGGTGGTGGTATTGTGTATTAATTTTCCCCCTATATCTGACTTTTGGTAAAATGAGTATCTATTTCCTATGATTTTGTGGGTGAAGTTAACTTCCTTGGTTTGGAGTTTCCCTTCCAGAACTTTCTGCAGGACTGGATTTGTGGATATTTATTGTGTAAATCTGGTTTTGTCATGGAATATCTTGTTTTCTCCTTTTATAGTGATTGAGAGTTTTGCTGAGTATAGTACTCTGGACTGGCATCTGTGGTCTCTTATCCAGGACCTTCTGGCTTTTAGAGTTTTCATGGAGATGATAGGTTTGCCTTAAATGTTACTTGGCCTTTTTCTTTTGCTTCTCTTAATATTCTTTCTTTATTCTGTATGTTTGGTGTTTTGATTATTATGTAGCAAGGGGACATTTTTTTTCGTTCAGACTATTTGGTGTTTGGTAAGCTGCTTGTACTTTCATATGTATGTTCTTCTTCTGGTTGGAAAGATTTTTTCTATTGTTTGTTGAACATGTTTTCTGTACCTTTGAGCTGGGCTTCCTCGCCTTCATCTGTATCTATTATTATTATCTTTGGTCTTTTCACAGTGTCCCATATTTCCTGGATATTTTGTGTTAAGCATTTGTTGGATTTAAGATTTTCTTTGGTCAATGAATCTATTTCCTCTAGTTTTTCCTCAGAGCCTAAGATTCTGCCTTCTGTCTCTTGTATTCTGTTTGTTACACTTGTATCTGTAGTTCCTGATAATTTACCCTGCTTTTCTACTTCCAGCATTCCTCTGTTTTTTGTTTCTTTGTTTGTTTGTTTGTTTTTACTTTTCTTTTGGTTTTCTTTTGAGACAGGATTTCTCTGTATTGCTTTGGAAACTGTCATGGAACTCACTCTGTAGATCAGGCTGGCTTCAAACTCACAGAGACCCACCTGCCTCTATGTCTCCAATGGTGGGATTAAAGACATGAGCCATCAACACCCAGCTTAGTTTGTGTTTTCTTTATTGACTCTACTCGGTTTTCAGGTCTTGAACTGTTTGGATTGTTTCCTTCATCTGTTTGATTGTTTTCTCTTGGCTTTTCTTGCTTTCTTTAAGTGATTTGTTGACTTCTTGAATTTTTGGTTTCTTTTTTTCTTCTATTTGTTTAAGGGATTTTCTCATATCCTTTTTGCGTGTCTCTATCATTTTCATGAAGGTGTTTTTAAGATGATTTTCTTCTGTTTCATCTGAATGGGGATGTTTAGGTCTTGCTTGTGTAGAATCCCTAGACTGTTGATATCATATAAGTCCTTCTGTTGTTGGATGTGTTCTTATACTTTTGTCTTCCCATCTTTTCTTCCAGTGGGTGTATGTAGGGTCTCTTCCTCTCCTCTCCACCAAATGGTAGAGGGGCAAGATAGGAATGTTGACTGAGGATTCTGGTTGCTTTTTTCTGCCTCCAGGTCCCTCTGAGGGTTTGGTGGCAGGACAGGTCTGGTGGCTGCAGATCAGGGAACGTGGAGGGAGAAACATGGTCTGGAAGGGCACCTGGCACTTACCTCTCTACTGGAAGGTGGAGGAAAGACAGAAATGGTGGCCGATGGTGCTGGCTGCTTTGTTCTTCCTGCAGGTTCCTCCAATGAATATAATTTATATATAATTTTATATAAATGTAAACTTATATAAAATCTCAGGACAGGGAAAACCTCCCTTAAGTCTGTTCTTACTCATTAAGTAAGAATAATGAATTGGGTTTGCATTGGCTAGATCATCAGGAGTGAAGAGCTGTGGGTGCTTCCTGTGCTTTGTGTAACTGCTGTCTTTGTTGTTGCAGCACCGGCTACCAGTTTATTTACTATTCACCTGAAAACACAGCGAAGGCAAAGGAAGTCCTCAGCAACATCAATCAGCTGCAGCCTCTCATAGCAACCCATGCAGACCTGCTGCTCAGCTCTGCCAGCCAGCATTCTCCAGACAGCTTGAAGAGTTCGTTAAAGCTGCTCTCAGAAAAAGTAAGATCCAAATCTTTATTCTGGTGGGGAAAGTGAAGTCCCCCAACCCCATACGTGCTTCCTCCTGCGCCCATCACCTTTCATGCTTCTGGAAATGTAAGAGACTGGGTTAAAAGGAAGCTGCAGAACATTGCCACGGGATGAGACAAATTGATTCCTTTCTTTCTTGGGTAGGAAATGAAACCTGCTCTTATCTGGAATATAGCTCCTATTTTCCTTGTTATTTTTATGCCTCCTTTTGGTTTATGATATGAGTAAGTGAATTGAATTAGATTTGGAAGATTATTTTCCTCTGATAATCACATATGTTTATGCACTGATAGCTGTGCATTTGAATGGAGTATCATTTGATCTGAGTCACATCCTTGGTGTGGATCCCATCAGTGGCATGGGGCAATCTATCTGTCTCTCTTTGTCTTTTATGGCATTATTAAACAGAAAAAGGTTATCAACACTACAAGAATAGAGATTGTTGTTTAAAACATGATAGGAGCCGAGTTGTGGTCATTCCAAGATTGACTTTCTTGGTGCCTTCAGTAAACAAAAGTGGTCAGGTCTGGGGCAATGCATAGTATGAGATTCTATAAATAATTAGAACTATGCTATTTCATAGAACCAAGGTGAAAAATAGATCAGTTATTGCATGATTTTGAATGTCAAATGAAGCATCCTAGAGTTTGATACACTAAGTTCACCTGTCACCTATATGCCACACTTTTTGTACTCTGTTATAGGAAATTTCTAATAAATATGAGTGAAGAACCTGACAAAAGGAAACACTTCTAATAATTAAAGAATAAATCAACACTGTGGTTCTTTGCCTTTCTAAAAACAACATTTGTAGATATTATGGATATCATACATGGCTGTACCTTTTACTCATCTAAGTCCATTACTAATGATAAGGTTGTATTTAAAATTTTATCTTAAATTGTACATTTCTATATACATTTTACTTATAGGAGAAAACTAAAATTCATGTTGATTGAAAACTATTACATTTCTGTTCAGAAGTGTCAGATGGCTTTTCTAATAAATTTAAAATTATACCTCAACACAAGATCTCTCGTATAAACCTAGTGGCTTCCCATGCTACAAAAGATATGACTATCTTACAAAGTAGAGAAAAGTTTGACAAATCTTACCAGAAGCTCTTTTGTGTCAAGGGAACATGGACTCCAGGACTTATGCTATTTTATTTAATCTCCACATGATCTGTCTACCTACTCAAGGTCACTTTATATAAAATGAGTGTTTTACACATTTTTAAAATTGATGTTTTTAAATTATTTTTAACTTGGGAAAATTCTTTTAGGACTGGGTGGGTCAGGAGAAAACCTCAAAGAGGATTATAGATGGTAAAATAATATAAACTCACTTTGACTCATCTACCTTATAGGTGTGTGGGTGGGGGAGATGAAGGTTATCTCAGTTCACCTACACAGAAAGTTTTAGCAACTAGTGCATCCAAAGAAGGGGTGTGTCATTTCATATATCCGGACAGTACACTGCAGGGATGAGGAGGGTATTATCTCCTACTTTAATCCAGCATTGCTCCAAGTTTTTCTCTTTTATTTTTTCTGTTGAGTAGACAGGTTTTGTCACCTTAGAAACTAACAGGATGTTTTAATAGTTAAGTTTTAAGCAATACATCCCCTTGAGAATTCATGCCTGGAATTTCAAAGAGTTATGAAAGTTAATAGTTCTGAATGGTCTTTGAAAGAAGGATTCAAGGTTAGTCCAAGAATTGAGCATGAACAAAAGTTTTAGAGATATGATAAATCTCTATAAATATCAAACATTTTAAGCTGTAATAACTTATGTTTCAGAATTTCTAATAATCCTGTGGATAAGAGAGTAAAAGTTAACTCAGTGATAGTACCTAACTTTGTTTTGTTGTTAGCTTTTTTAGACAGGGTTTTTCTGTGTAGCACTAGCAATCCTGGAACGTAATCTATAAACCATCCTGGCCTTGAACACAGAAATCCTCCTGCCTCTTCTGAATCCTAGGATTAAAGGCATGCACCACCACACTCTGTTATAGTATTCATTTTAAAAATAAATTTACAAAAGTTATTTAAGGCATAAATATGATCTTAGAGTTCAATGGTCATTAGGATGAAGCAAATTAGCATGTTTTGTAATTTTTATAGCTCATTATTTGGTGCCTTAGAGACAAGGCAAGCTAAAATCTAGCCATTTCCAATAATTCCCAATATAGCACAACCTTATTTATGCTCATTATGAGTGTTTGATCTGAAAACCTGATCATTCTACATGTGTGTAGTTTTGAAGCATCTGGTAGACATGCCACTAATTTATTGTTTCTAAACTAGTACATTGGGGAATAATTTCTTAAAGTTTCTTCACCAGAAATTGATGCTACAAAATAATCTGGGAAATATCAGGATCTGCCTGTTCTCATGCTTGCCTGTGTACCCAGCACTGAGCATCTGCCCACAGCAGGGAGAAGAGGGTTCAGTGCAGTAAATTTAATTGTCTGAGGCATTCTAAGGACAGTGCGGAGTGATGCCAGAGAAATGTTTGAGTCTAGAGCTGAGGTAAGGTAAGCATTGGCACCCAGAGAACACGGTGATAGGTAGTATCAATGAATATGACCTGGAGTTTGTTAGGAAAGCTAGAGCAAGAGGGGAATCTCAACTGACTGCAGGGCTTATTCAGACAGAGGAGTTGATATACGTTAATTCAAAAGCAGTTCATGCCATCTCTGCTGCTACTGAAAACTGTAGAACAAGCCAGCAATTCATAAAAACGTGTTTGTGTGTGTGTGTGTGTGTGTGTGTGTGTGTGTGTTTCTGAATTCATGCTATTTTTTTATACCTGTGACTGATCCAAGCGACACAGAGTGGAATATGAATAAACAAATCTCTGTTCTCAACAACAAGAGAGTCCAGAGCCTTGATGGTAGTGGTTGTATTAGTAATGATGATGGCGGGGAAGGGTGGCATTCACCTCAGGATCAGTTAAAGGCTCCATTACAGTGAGATTTCTAACTTTAACAGCTATATGAGGTAGCTACTGTTATTTCCCATATTCACTATTGATAATCCCATCAAGTCATTAGCATTCTCATTATAAACCGGGACAAATCAGTGTTAAGCAACTTAGTATTTATACAAGTTGTGTTCCTGGTTGGTACTTCCCTGTGCTCATATCACTGGATAGTATCTGTGAAGACACCCATGACCTGTGGACAAAGGAATATGTGTACTGGAGAGCATAAGGAGAAATTCACAATAATGAATAATTACTATGTATTCTTGTGCTAGACCGCACAAACTCAGTCAATTGCATTATGATTTGAAATTTCTTATATATCTCTTAGTAGTATAGGGAGTTAAACCTAGGGTCTCACACATGCCAGTCAAACACAGTGAGCTACAAGTCTAGCACATGTCTAGCATATCTTCTGATGGACAGATGTGTTGTGGCAACTTTATCAGTTCACAAAAATATTAAAGAAGAAGTTTAATCACATGCTATTCTAACACACAGGAAATTCTGAATTTAGATGAATAATCCATCCAAAAGGGCACAATTTTGTATAAAAGTAAGAATTTTAGTAAATGATATGAGTAGATAATATCAGAATGATTTAAAATGCAATTTTCTTTTCCTTAAAATACAGAAAAGATCTTTGACAAAAATTCAAGGAAATGGCTAATGTAGAAAAATTCAAACTAAAAAGTAAGGAAAATGTAAACAGCATATATAACTATCCCATTGATCAGAATTATGAATGACATTGGCTTTCACATGTCCATCTCTCCCCCCATTGTATAGAAAGTCATTATTGTCCTGCTTGGCAAGAAAGGCCCATTGAGCACTTAATTGTGCATTGTACTGCACTTGATGTTATAAGATAAATTATAAATAGATATAGCGGTTAACTTTTACAACGCCAGATTTTCAAATAATGGGGGTGTTTCACAATACTGTAACATTTAAGAAATGACTATGTAACCCTTAGAGGCTAAACTCACAATGTACAGAAGAAATTCTAGTACTAGCATCTCTTTAGGCAGAGTAGTATACATCCTATTACGTTAAAAAAATGAAAACTCTTTCCTTCTGAAACTCAAGATTTCCTTAAATCTCTTTCTGTGATGGCAGTATGGGCAGCAGGCCTTGTCTGAGAAGTTAAAGTGATGTGTGCTATTGAAGAGAGTGCAGTCGTGGCCAACTTAGGTCCCAACAGGGAGATTCTCACTGTACATTCACTTCAACCATCCCTATGTCTGCCTCCTCCCCAAACTGAAAGGAAGATGAGAAGTGGAAGTTTGGATTGTTACTGATTGGTAAAAATATAAATATAGGATAAAACAGAACTTTAGAATTACTTCTGTAAATTCAGTTAAGCCTTGAGGATTTGAATTTACTGTCTGCTCTCCATAATACCTTTCAAATTGTAAGTATTCAATTGGCAAATTGATAAACAATGAAAATTGTGTTTATTGGTAAACTGGGGAATAGAGAAAAAAACTCAGAGAACAATCTCAAAGATAATATAGAGCCATGCATGTGAATCACCTGTGTCAGAACGTATTGCACGTGATGTAGCGTCACGTATATGCCTGCCAAGAGGGACACTAGTCAAACAGGCCCTAAGCTTCCAGATGTAGAAGATGAGGTGTGGGAACCTTGCACATGCCCAGCTTACTACCTGAGGCAGTTTTCAGGCTATAGTACAGGAGAGAGGATCTGAACTGTATTTCTCAAAGAGAAGACAGGAAATAGACTTTGGGAGTCTTGAGTTAGCTAGATTCAACAGTATAGATTAAGGAAGGTGGGTGGGGCTTAGCATAGAAAGAACTCTGAAACTCTACAAATGAATGTGGATAAGGCTTTCATTGTCTGGCCCATGCATGCTTGCTAATAAACTACTCATGTCCAGAGAAAGAAAGACCAGACATCTGTTCTCAAACAGTGCTAGAAATGTTTTATATTTACAAAGCAAAGGGGAAAGACTTATCTTGTGT